CCCATGTAGAGCATGTTACAGTAATCCAGTCTTGAGGTGACAAGGGCATGAGTGAATATTCGAAGTGCCTCCCGGTCCAGATAGGGCTGCAACTGGTGCACCAGGTGAACCTGGGTGAAAGCCCCCCTGGTTACAGCCGACAGATTGTGCTCTAACGTCAGCTGTGGGTCCAGAAGGACACCCAAATTGCGGGCCCTCTCTGAGGGGTGTATAATTTCACCCCCCAGGCTAAGAGATGGAATGTCTGGACTAACCTTGGGAGGCAGCATCAATAGCCATTCGGTCTTGTCTGGATTGAGTGCAAGCTTGTTTTCAATCTCTCTAAAACAATTCATATACTATTTGCTGAGTTCACATAGCATATTAAGCAAATACAAACAAAACCATAATATTGTTAAGTATGATCTGTGAAAGCAAACATTTTATGGAGTAGATATTTGTCTTGAGATACTTATCATGTTTTTGATTATGAGTTAATCACATGCTATTGTTATGATATCAGTGTTTCACCCTGAAGTTTTAATGAGAACATACAATATTAAATGAGTTGTTGTATTATGAGGATTGGAATTTATTTTTCAGTGTCCTTAGACTCTAGAATGAAAGTAGGTGATTTCATACCTTCTTACTTAAATGTCTTCTGGCTAAATTGTGAATGCTCCAACACTGGATTTTTTAAAAGATGTTGGATAACCATTTGTCTGAAGTGGTGTAGGATTTCCTGCCTAAGCAGGGGGTTGTACTAGAAGACCTTCAAGGTCCCTTCCAACTGTGTTATTCTATTCTGTTCTAAATACGCTAATACAGGGGTGTCAAATTCAAGGTCCAAGGGTTGGATTTGGCCCGCGGGGCCACCCTGGAAACAGTGAGGGACTGGTCCACGGTGCCTCTGCCAGCAAAAATGGAGCTCAGGAGAGCTGCGTGCAGCCCTCCCGAGCTCCACTTTCATTGGCATAGGGTTGCAGGAGGCCATCGCAGCTGAAAACAGGAGATTGGCAGAGTGCTTAGGACACCACAGGCGCCTCTGACGTGAGTGACGTTGAGCTGGCCATCAGACCCTGATGCGGCCCTCAATGAAATCGAGTTTGATACCCCTGCTCTAGTAATAGTAATAGTAATAGCTACATGAAAAATATTTATCAGATATTCCATCCAAAATGTGTAAATATTTTAATGATTATTACTTTTATATTATAATCTAATGTATTAATATTAAAATATTTTAATATTTTATATTATTGTATTACATGAATTGTTCCAAGTTCATAGCTGAATAAGCTTAAGAATATGGTATATTTTTGCATGAAACAAATTGTATTTATAGGTGCAAATTTGAGTAGCTGCCTAAATGTTGCAATCATTCTTGTTTTTATTATTAGGCATACATGATACACTGTCTGCTAATAGAAATGTCTTGCTACAAAGTACCATAACTTTATTGAACAGAAAGCTGGTGTCATCTATTTCATTCTGCAATGAATTTTCATGTACATTAATTGAATATTATGAATCCTGATATGTCCTCTATTTATATTTACTGGTAACATAAAAGGCCATATTATATCTATACAGGAAGGTTTCTTCTTTGGAATATGACTTGTAGTGAATACTGTAGAATGGGATCTTACGTTGCTTATGTTTTAAAAGTTGGAGAATTAAGCTTGTTGACCTTTAAAAAAAACAATAGTAACTTTTTATTTTTTGTTTATAGCAAATCCAGTTTGCAGATGATATGCAGGAGTTCAGTAAATTTCCCACAAAGACTGGTCGCAGATCGTTGTCTCGTTCCATTTCACAGTCTTCCACAGACAGCTACAGTTCTGGTAAGTGTCTCCCTTTAATAAGATTTATTTTCCTTTTGATTTATCTTCTGCTGATCCAGTAGTAGTTAGCTCAAGAAGCTTATTTGGCCCCTCAACTTCTTCCTTGTAATTTTTGAATACACACAGACACAAAACACACACACACACACACACACACACACAAACGGAAAGAGAGAGAAAGTCATGCTGCTGAATTTATTAATGTGATTTTTGTGATTTATTCAAATAAAAATTATTTTTTTAAAATCAAATACATATCAGCATATCCTTGCCGGATCCCCTGCAACTCTCAGAGGCTGATTGTTTTAAAAAAATAAAAATTCCTATCCCTGACCTTGTTATCCCTATACTTATTCATGTAAGTAGGAGGGATAAG